TAGTTTTGTGTCGAGGATGTCATAAAATTTTTGCAACAATGGTTTGAATTCGTAGGAAAACCTTGTGTGGCTAACTTAGCCAGGCTAACTAAGCCAGGCTGGCTAGACACAAAAGTTTTGACTTGAAAAGTTTCTGTTTGTTGCTCGCGGTAAGTCGAGTGTGATTAATCAAGCACAAAAGAAAGCACATTTTTAATCCTAGTCTCAAACTTAACTGGTTATACTTGGCTAATCAGCACCGACTGCCCACGATAGATGGCTAATCATCACCGACTGCCTACGATAGATGGCTAATCACCACCGACTGCCCACGATAGATGGCTAATCACCACCGACTGCCCACGATAAATGGCTAATCAGCACCGACTGCCCACGATAGATGGCTAATCACCACCGACTGCCCACGATAGATGGCTAATCACCACCGACTGCCCCCGATACATGGCTAATCACCACCGACTGCCCACGATAGATGGCTAATCAGCACTGACTGCCCACGATAGATGGCTAATCAGCACTGACTGCCCAAGATAGATGGCTAATCATCACCGGCTGCCCACGATAGATGGCTAATCAGCACCGACTGCCCACGATAGATCCCTAATCAGCACTGACTGTCCACGATAGATGGCTAATCAGCACCGACTGCCCACGATAGATGGCTAATCAGCACTGACTGCCCACGATAGATGGCTAATCAGCACTGACTGCCCAAGATAGATGGCTAATCATCACCGGCTGCCCACGATAGATGGCTAATCAGCACCGACTGCCCACGATAGATGGCTAATCAGCACTGACTGCCCAAGATAGATGGCTAATCATCACCGGCTGCCCACGATAGATGGCTAATCAGCACCGCCTGTCCACGATAGATGGCTAATCAGCACCGACTGCCCAAGATAGATGGCTAATCAGCACCGACTGCCCACGATAGATGGCTAATCAGCACCGACTGCCCAAGATAGATGGCTAATCAGCACCGACTGCCCACGATAGATGGCTAATCACCACCGACTGCCCAAGATAGATGGCTAATCAGCATCGACTGCCCACGATAAATGGCTAATCAGCACCGATTGCCTGACGACTGAGTATAATTACAAACTTCAAACCTAGCGACAGCGGTGAAGTAAGGTGGAATTATTTACATACAATATTCAATATTTTTAGACATTTAGCCTTACCGTGACATTTAACCTAACAGTGACATTTAACCTTATGGTTAGAAAGTGACATCGGACTACATAGCGCATAACATGTGATATGTAATACTTAAATGTGTTGGAGGAAATTCCCTCCAATTTTACAATAAAATTCGAAGAACGAAGAAGAACTGGGCATGGTTAAACCAGTCGGTAAAGTTAACACCCACCCACACAAATACACAAACATACAATGTCAACACTTTAAAGTAAACAGCAACTGTAAAAAGTTAACATCTATTTTGAAATCAATACACTCAAAATGTACATCAGTATGACTGTTTGAGATCTTCGAACCCGATGTTTACTACTTTACGGGGTCTTTGCTCTAATCTGAGAACCATTGTTTAACCAGTCTAGCTGCAAGTAGAAGTCGAATGTTCTAGAAATAGATGTCAGTGTAATCGAATGATGAAACCGGAGCCCGTACAATACGCCGCAACCTTTGAAGTGACCAACGAACATCAACAGTCCGCCATGTTTTCTTGAGACACCTCCTACTTCACCCAACCAACAGTCCCAAAAACACTTCTAGTTTATTTGCAGACTGCTCTAATTAATTTTAATTAATTCTTTGTTGGGTGCATGCAGAGAAAAAAAAATATACCAGTGACGTCAGAGATTTCTAAATTTACAAGATGAAACAGCGTAGATTGAAAATAAGCTTCATTCTTCAAGTGTCTGTCGTTATTTCAGGGCCGTGTTTGTTCGTGTTATTTTCTAATCGTGCGACAGCCTCGTTATTTTATAATTTTTACTCGGTACAACAGCGGCCGTACATGTCGTTGACATATGTTGTAAGACTCCTCCGCTTACATATCTGTATTCAGCCCTCTTACATCGTCTCTTGTATCATTATTATGTAATTAGTAACAGTGAAAATATACATAATAAAAGGGAAAATAAAATAAAATATGTTCGCTTTATTTATTTCTCGAACTTTCTGCAACGTTGTATTTTAATTAACCTGCTTTAATTATACAGCTAGATATTCCTATCTGGTTGTATTTCTACAGGTGTATGCATGTAACCAGTACACAGGAAACATGATGCGATTGATTTTGTCTTTTGTTTCACGGAAGTTTTATTTCAACACCTAATGGTGGTACGCTAAATACACCAGACACCTAATGGTGGTATGCTAAATACACCAGACACCTAATGGTGGTATGCTAAATACACCAGACACTTAATGGTGGTACGCTAAATACAACAGACACCTAATGGTGGTACGCTAAATACAACAGACACCTAATGATGGTACGCTAAATACACCACTCAGACACCTAATGATGGTACGCTAAATACACCACTCAGACACCTAATGGTGGTAAGCTAAATACACCACTCAGACACCTAATGGTGGTACGCTAAATACACCAGACACCTTATGGTGGTATGCTAAATACACCAGACACCTTATGGTGGTATGCTAAATACACCAGACACCTAATGGTGGTAAGTTAAATACACCAGACACCTAATGGTGGTACGCTAAATACACCAGTCAGACACCTAATGGTGTTACTCTAAAAACAACAGTCAATCACCTAATGATGTTACTAGAAACACACTAGTCAGGCACCTAGTAAGCTAAATACACTAGAGACCTAATGGTGTTAATAGAAACACACCAGTCAGACACCTAATGGTGGTACGCTAAATACACCAGTCAGACACATAATGGTGTTACTAGAAACACAGCAAGTCTGACACTAACTGATGTTTTTTCTCACAAACAATTGAAGAGTTTGAGTCATCCCCCCCACCCCCCAAAAAAAAATCTCTCACTGATTATGTAAATGTAGCGACACGTAGATAAGCGGTCACATTTAGTCTAGTGATCCCAGATAACAGACAGTGTGGCATAACACACAAGGATGTGAATCGTTACACGTATCCATTGGGTTTTTTGTTCCTTGTCTTTTCTAGAAAAACATTCACTTTTAAAGTACCCGCAAAGTGATACAGTTAAGGCATGGGAAATTTGGGCATGGGACATTTGGACATGGGACATTTGGACATGGGACATTTGGACATGGGACATTTGGACATGGGACATTTGGACATGGGACATTTGGACATGGGACATTTGGACATGGGACATTTGGACATGGGACATTTGGACATGGGACATTTGGACATGGGACATTTGGACATGGGACATTTGGACATGGGACCCTAGACATGGGACATTTGGACATGGGACATTTGGACATGGAACATTTGGACATGGGACATTTGGACATGGGACATTTGGACATGGGACATTTGGACATGGGACATTTGGACATGGGACCCTAGACATGGGACATTTGGACATGGGACATTTGGACATGGGACATTTGGACATGGGACATTTGGACATGGGACATTTGGACATAGAACATTTGGACATGGGACATTTGGACATGGGACATTTGGACATGGGACATTTGGACATGGGACATTTGGACATGGAACATTTGGACATGGGACATTTGGACATGGGACATTTGGACATGGGACATTTGGACATGGGACATTTGGACATGGGACCCTAGACATGGGACATTTGGACATGGGACATTTGGACATGGGACATTTGGACATGGGACCCTAGACATGGGACATTTGGACATGGGACATTTGGACATGGAACATTTGGACATGGGACATTTGGACATGGGACATTTGGACATGGAACATTTGGACATGGGACATTTGGACATGGGACATTTGGACATGGGACATTTGGACATGGGACCCTAGACATGGGACATTTGGACATGGGACATTTGGACATGGGACATTTGGACATGGGACATTTGGACATGGGACATTTGGACATGGAACATTTGGACATGGGACATTTGGACATGGGACATTTGGACATGGGACATTTGGACATGGGACCCTAGACATGGGACATTTGGACATGGGACATTTGGACATGGGACATTTGGACATGGGACCCTAGACATGGGACATTTGGACATGGGACATTTGGACATGGAACATTTGGACATGGGACATTTGGACATGGGACATTTGGACATGGGACATTTGGACATGGGACATTTGGACATGGGACCCTAGACATGGGACATTTGGACATGGGACATTTGGACATGGGACATTTGGACATGGGACATTTGGACATGGGACATTTGGACATGGGACATTTGGACATGGGACATTTGGACATGGGACATTTGGACATGGGACATTTGGACATGGGACATTTGGACATGGGACATTTGGACATGGAACATTTGGACATGGGACATTTGGACATGGGACATTTGGACATGGGACATTTGGACATGGGACCCTAGACATGGGACATTTGGACATGGGACATTTGGACATGGGACATTTGGACATGGGACCCTAGACATGGGACATTTGGACATGGGACATTTGGACATGGGACATTTGGACATGGGACATTTGGACATGGGACATTTGGACATGGGACCCTAGACCTGGTACATTTAGAATTGGACCCTAGACAGAGAACATTTGGACATGGGACATTTGGACATGAGGCATTTGGACAGGGGAATTTCATACATGGGAATTTGGGGCATGGGAAATTCGGACATTGGAACTTTAGAAATGGGAATTTCGGGCATAATAATTTTGGACATGGAAATTTAGGATATCGGACTGTGGGATTTGGGAACTTTTGAGCACCTCGACATGAGTATTCTACACATTGGTATTCGACCTACAAGCTTTTTTTACGTGCCCTCTAAACACTTGACCTCTAGACACTGGAGACTGGACCTCTAGACACTGGAGACTGGACCTCTAGACACTGGAGACTGGACCTCTAGACACTGGACCTCTAGACACTCGACCTCTAGACACCGGACTATAGACTGGACCTGTAGACACTGGACCTGTAGACACTGGACCTCTAGACACTGGACCTCTAGACACTCGACCTCTAGACACCGGACTATAGACTGGACCTGTAGACACTGGACCTGTAGACACTAGACCTCTAGACACTTGACCTCTAGACACTGGACCTCTAGACACTGGACCTCTAGACACTTGACCTCTAGACACTGGACCTCTAGACACTGGACCTCTAGACACTGGACCTCTAGACACTGGACCTCTAGACACTCGACCTCTAGACACTGGACCTCTAGACACTGGACCTCTAGACACTTGACCTCTAGTCACTGGACCTATAGACACCGGACTATAGACTGGACCTCTAGACACTTGACCTCTAGTCACTGGACCTATAGACACCGGACTATGGACTGGATCTCTAGACACTGGACCTCTAGACACTGGACCTCGACAAACCAGCACTATGATGTACACAACATTGCTGTGGTAGAACAGCAACACTCCCTGTGTGGCCATTTGCATCCGCAAACGTGACAAAAAAAAACAATCCCAGTCAATCGATCAATTAGAATAAGCGATGTAGAGATAAGGCGATAACGTCGGCGTTTGCTTGACTCCAGGATCCCGTGGTTCATATTGGTATCCGCCCCACCAGCGGGTGTCAGCTAGCATGTAGCCTCCGTCAGGTAGCCTGTAGCCTCCTGCATGTAGCAACACCGTCTGACCAAACCAAGCCTTAACTACCGCATGCCTGTCTTCCTACCCTGTAACCAGGAGCTTGCCGTCCCCGCTATGGTCGGCTAATCGCTTCGTGTGGTAGAACGACTCAGCTTTATTGTTGACCAAACTAATTTAGCTCTTGATACAATTTTTATATCCGTGAGTCTGCAGGGTTCCAGAAGTTAGGTGTGGGAGGGGCGGGGGTCCCAGTTCCAGCCCCCGTGTGATTGTTTCATTAAGAGCCGGGGTATTGATAGCCCCGTAGCGCGGCGGGTGCAGCAAGAAAATTGAAAGATAACGCAATAACTGCGGGAGGATTTGATTGTGTTGTGGGGGCCGTCACCTCCGTCAACAGCCGCCCTGGCCCGCCAGCTCGACCTAACACAATTAGCGCTGATCACGAAACCAACACAGGCAGGAAATAGGGTCGAGGGCTGGCCAGGTATTTGATCGAGTTGACGCGTTTTATGGCCAAAATAAAAATGATATTTTGATGGTAACTGCTGGTGGTAACGCAGAGGTATCAAAGGATTTTGGTAAGAGGCTGAGTTATTGAGGCTGTTGGTTGGAGCACACGAAGCAGAAAAATAACGTATGTCTGACAACCTCAGTCTATGACAACCTCAATGATAATCTCAGTCTATGTGACAACCCCAGTCTATGACAACCTCAGTCTATGACAACCTCAGTCTATGACAACCTCAGTCTATGACAACCTCAGTCTATGTGACAACCTCAGTCTATGACCACCCCCCTCCCACATATGATTGTATGGCCTCACCCTCCCACATATGATTGTATGCCCTCACCCCCCCCCCCACATATGGTTGTATGGCATCTCCCCCTCCTACATATGATAGTATGGCCTCACCCTCCCACATATGATTGTATGGCCTCACCCTCCCACATATGATTGTATGGCCTCACCCTCCCACATATGATTGTATGACCTCACCCTCCCACATATGATTGTATGGCCTCACCCTCCCACATATGATTGTATGGCCTCACCCTCCCACATATGATTGTATGACCTCACCCTCCCACATATGATTGTATGGCCTCACCCTCCCACATATGATTGTAGGTCCTCACCCTCCCACATATGATTGTATGACCTCACCCTCCCACATATGATTGTATGGCCTCACCCTCCCACATATGATTGTAGGACCTCACCCTCCCATATATGATTGTATGACCTCACCCTCCCACATATGATTGTATGGCCTCACCCTCCCACATATGATTGTATGGCCTTACCCTCCTCCCACATATAATTGTATGGCCTCACCCTCCCACATATGATTGTATGACCTCACCCTCCCACATATGATTGTATGGCCTCACCCTCCCACATATGATTGTATGACCTCACCCTCCCACATATGATTGTATGGTCTCACCCTCCCACATATGATTGTATGGCCTCACCCTCCCACATATGATTGTAGGTCCTCACCCTCCCACACATGATTGTATGGCCTCACCCTCCCACATATGATTGTATGGCCTCACCCTCCCACATATGATTGTATGGCCTCACCCTCCCACATATGATTGTATGGCCTCACCCTCCCACATATGATTGTGTGGCTTCACCACCCCCCTCCCACATATGGTTGTATGGCCTCATCCTCCCACATATGATTGTATGGCCTCACCCTCCCACATATGATTGTATGGCCTCACCCTCCCACATATGATTGTATGACCTCACCCTCCCACATATGATTGTATGGCCTCACCCTCCCACATATGATTGTATGGCCTCACCCTCCCACATATGATTGTATGGCCTCACCCTCCCCCATATGATAGTATGACCTCACCCTCCCACATATGATTGTATGGCCTCACCCTCCCACATATGATTGTATGGCCTCACCCTCCCACATATGATTGTATGACCTCACCCTCCCACATATGATTGTATGGCCTCACCCTCCCACATATGATTGTATGACCTCACCCTCCCACATATGATTGTATGGCCTCACCCCCCACCTAGATATAATTGTATGGCCTCACCCTCCCACATATGATAGTATGGCCTCACCCTCCCACATATGATTGTATGGCCTCACCCTCCCACATATGATTGTATGGCCTCACCCCCCTCCCACACATGATTGTATGACCTCACCCTCCCACATATGATTGTATGGCCTCACCCCCCTCCTACAAATGATTGTATGGCCTCACCCCCCTCCCACATATGATTGTATGGCCTCACCCTCCCACATATGATTGTATGCCCTCACCCCCCTCCTACATATGATTGTATGGCCTCACCCTCCCACATATGATAGTATGGCCTCACCCTCCCACATATGATTGTATGGCCTCACCCTCCCACATATGATTGTATGGCCTCACCCTCCCACATATAATTGTATGGCTTCACCACCCCCCTCCCATAAATGATTGTATGCCCTCACCCTCCCACATATGATTGTATGGCCTCACCATCCCACATATGATTGTATGGCCTCACCCTCCTCCCACATATGATCGTATGGCCTTACCCTCCTCCCACATATGATTGTATGGCCTCACCCTCCCACATATGATTGTATGGCCTCACCCTCCCACATATGATTGTATGGCTTCACCACCCCCCTCCCACATATGGTTGTATGGCCTCACCCTCCCACATATGATTGTATAGCCTCACCCTCCCACATATGATTGTACGCCCTCACCCTCCCACATATGATTGTATGGCCTCACCCTCCCACATATGATTGTATGGCCTCACCCTCCCACATATGATTGTATGGCCTCACCCTCCTCCCACATATGATAGTATGGCCTCACCCTCCCACATATGATTGTATGGCCTCACCCTCCCACATATGATTGTATGGCCTCACCCTCCTACATATGATTGTATGGCCTCACCCTCCCACATATGATTGTATGGCCTCACCCTCCTCCCACATATGATAGTATGGCCTCAACCTCCCACATATGATTGTATGGCCTCACCCTCCCACATATGATTGTATGACCTCACCCTCCTACATATGATTGTATGACCTCACCCTCCTACATATGATTGTATGACCTCACCCTCCCACATATGATTGTATGGCCTCACCCTCCCACATATGATTGTATGGCCTCACCCTCCTACATATGATTGTATGACCTCACCCTCCCACATATGATTGTATGACCTCACCCTCCCACATATGATTGTATGGCCTCACCCTCCCACATATGATTGTATGGCCTCACCCTCCTCCCACATATGATTGTATGGCCTCACCCTCCCACATATGATTGTATGGCCTCACCCTCCCACATATGATTGTATGGTCTCACCCCCCTCCTACATATGATTGTATGGCCTCACCCTCCCACATATGATTGTATGGCCTCACCCTCCCACATATGATTGTATGGCCTCACCCTCCCACATATGATTGTATGACCTCACCCTCCCACATATGATTGTATGACCTCACCCTCCTACATATGATTGTATGGCCTCACCCTCCCACATATGATTGTATGGCCTCACCCTCCCACATATGATTGTATGGCCTCACCCTCCCACATATGATTGTATGGCTTCGCCCTCCCACATATGATTGTATGGCCTCACCCTCCCACATATGATTGTATGGCCTCACCCTCCCACATATGATTGTATGACCTCACCCTCCCACATATGATTGTATGGCCTCACCCTCCCACATATGATTGTATGGCCTCACCCTCCCACATATGATTGTATGACCTCACCCTCCCACATATGATTGTATGGCCTCACCCTCCCACATATGATTGTATGGCCTCACCCTCCCACATATGATTGTATGGCCTCACCCTCGAACATATGATTGTATGGCCTCACCTACCCACATATGATTGTATGGCCTCACCCTCCCACATATGATTGTATTGCCTCACCCTCCCACATATGATTGTATGGCCTCACCCTCCCACATATGATTGTATGGCCTCACCCTCCCACATATGATTGTATGGCCTCACCTACCCACATATGATTGTATGGCCTCACCCTCGAACATATGATTGTATGGCCTCACCCTCCTCCCACATATGATTGTATGGCCTCACCCTCCCACATATGATTGTATGGCCTCACCCTCGAACATATGATTGTATGACCTCACCCTCCCACATATGATTGTATGGCCTCACCTACCCACATATGATTGTATGGCCTCACCCTCGAACATATGATTGTATGACCTCACCCTCCCACATATGATTGTATGGCCTCACCTACCCACATATGATTGTATGACCTCACCCTCCCACATATGATTGTATGGCCTCACCTACCCACATATGATTGTATGGCCTCACCTACCCACATATGATTGTATGACCTCACCCTCCCACATATGATTGTATGACCTCACCCTCCCACATATGATTGTATGGCCTCACCTACCCACATATGATTGTATGACCTCACCCTCCCACATATGATTGTATGGCCTCACCTACCCACATATGATTGTATGGCCTCACCCTCCCACATATGATTGTATGGCCTCACCCTCCCACATATGATTGTATGGCCTCACCCTCCCACATATGATTGTATGGCCTCACCCTCCCACATATGATTGTATGGCCTCACCCTCGAACATATGATTGTATGGCCTCACCCTCCCACATATGATTGTATGGCTTCACCACCCCCCTCCCACCATATGATTGTATGGCCTCACCCTCCCACATATGATTGTATGGCTTCACCACCCCCCTCCCACATATGATTGTATGGCCTCACCCTCCTACATATGATTGTATGGTCTCACCCCCCTCCTACATATGATTGTATGGCCTCACCCTCCCACATATGATTGTATGGCCTCACCCTCCCACATATGATTGTATGGCCTCACCCTCCCACATATGATTGTATGACCTCACCCTCCCACATATGATTGTATGACCTCACCCTCCTACATATGATTGTATGGCCTCACCCTCCCACATATGATTGTATGGCCTCACCCTCCCACATATGATTGTATGGCCTCACCCTCCCACATATGATTGTATGGCTTCACCCTCCCACATATGATTGTATGGCCTCACCCTCCCACATATGATTGTATGGCCTCACCCTCCCACATATGATTGTATGACCTCACCCTCCCACATATGATTGTATGGCCTCACCCTCCCACATATGATTGTATGGCCTCACCCTCCCACATATGATTGTATGACCTCACCCTCCCACATATGATTGTATGGCCTCACCCTCCCACATATGATTGTATGGCCTCACCCTCCCACATATGATTGTATGGCCTCACCCTCCCACATATGATTGTATGGCCTCACCCTCCCACATATGATTGTATGGCCTCACCCTCCCACATATGATTGTATGGCCTCACCCTCCCACATATGATTGTATGGCTTCACCACCCCCCTCCCACATATGATTGTATGGCCTCACCCTCCCACATATGATTGTATGGCTTCACCACCCCCCTCCCACATATGATTGTATGGCCTCACCCTCCTACATATGATTGTATAGCCTCACCCTCCTACATATAATTGTATGCCCTCACCTTCCCTCACATGACTGCATGCCTTCACCCCAAATGTGTAATCGTAACTTCCCACAAATGATTATGTCACGGTGTTGAGCAATATCCATCTGTTTTAAAATTTGTTATCAAAGACACAGTTTTGCCAGCAAAATGAAACGACAAACTGAAGTTTGTAACTGCCACTAATTGAATGAATCGATACTAATTGAAGGAATCGATACTAATTGGTAAACACACACGTGGTGGCAACAGATAGCGAATTGTTGACAGAGTGAAGCACCCTTAGACCGTAGCTTGTGTGAAACGTCAATTTTATTTTGTAGTAATCTAAAACACCCATAAATCTTTTACATTTTGTGAAATACCCTCTCATCTTGTGCAAATATCTCAAAAAAAAACAAGATCTTGTCGGTCAATAAAGCAGATGTAGTAGAGTTTATGTATTTACCAGCTGAATCTCCACACGCTTTACTTTCCCTAAATCCCACCAGGTACACATGAGAGCTGGGTGAACACTGGGTCTCCGTACACGGCGGTATTGAAGAAAGTTAATGACGTTTTCATCTGCTAATGTGATCAGGTTTGTGGGGGTTTGATCTTCACATCACAGCAAAGCAGTGGGCGTCTGTGGTAGAATTAAGTCGTCTATAAAGAGCCCCCCCCCCCACACACACACATACACACACACAATCACACACACAACCACACACAATAACACACACGTCTGCTGAAAAAGAAATGTGTCTATGTCGCTGTCTTTTGCTCATCTAGACACTAACTACGTCAAAATTTTCAACTGATTAACTTACTTTATATGTTGAAGGACGATATGAATTTTTTTTTACATTCTAAGACTAAGATTTATTTTTTAAGGCGGTTATGAATTACGAATATTTAACTTTATGAACAGAAATCAGTTAACTTTTCTTATTTTTTTAAATCTACAAATTGGACACATTTGTCCTTTTTTTTTTGGTTTGACCCCCATCTTACGGGTTGTACATACGTTACGTAACACGATAGATGTAGGGGTGGTTTATCAGTCTGTTATATTATTTTTGGCTTCAGTGCAGCTAAATCTACAATTTTTTTCCTGGTATTCCCGATTTTGTCAGTAAACTTGAGTAGGTGGTTCCCTACATCATTTATAGATTTAAGCAGGCCTAGAACTGAGGTGTAAACCAGGTACCCTAGGCTGTGGGGGGGGGTGTACCGAAAACACTCCAGGCATTTTAATTCTTAGGACATCGATTAAATAAAAAGTAAAAACAAAACTTGAACATACGTAAAAAAAAAAGTGTCCAAAATTTAAAAAACTTCAACCTACGTGAAAAAAAAAAAATACGTTGCAGTGATATGCCATTTAACATAACAAAGTTCTCAGGTAATTTCCACTTTAACACGCCGGGGGTGGGGACGTGGGTGGTGCGACCTGGTGACGGGCTGGTAGCGGCGGGCGGCGCGGGGTGCCTGGCGGGATATAAGCGGGGGTGTGGGGCGCACGGAGCAGCACTTGATGACAGCCGCCGACCCTACCACTCAGAACTGTCCGCTGTCGTCTGCTGACGCCAGGAGACTTAACATTTATCTACGAGAAGCAGGGAGAACTTTTTCAGCCTCGTTCTGGTGATCTGAAGCACTCTCATAACATAGCTAGTGATAAGATTTAGACAGGTCAGGCTACATAAACCCCAGTTAAGTTAGGATTAGCGTTACAGCAGGTTTTTACATCAACTGAGATTTTGGAAAGATACCTTCAACATTTAAGGCAATTAACTAGAAGCCAATCAACTAATAAGCAAGTAGCTATTAGGCAATTATCAGGCAATCATCAAACAGGCAATCAACATCAGGCAATCAACTAGCAGAGTAGCGTGGTTAGTTGTACCACAATCTGTCGACTCAGCATCTCTATAACTCGCGTGTCCAGTGTCCAGAGGATCGTTAATTAGTAATTATGATGACGTCAGGTTCAATGTCAGTGATGACAGGTGTCTTGGTGCTAGGGGTCATCATGTCCAGTGTCCAGGCGTGTTTCATCAGGAACTGTCCGAGGGGGGGCAAGCGCTCCATAGACGTCATCAGCCACGAGGTAAGAACTGACAGATACAAGTTTAAACAAATCAAATGACATGTCTGACACTTGCAAACATGCATTACACCATTTTACAGAAATGACATTTGTGACATCTGATAAACAAGGGACACCTGTTTACAACAGTTGAATGACATGCGCTTTTCACAGCAACACATGTCATCTGTTTACATAATCCAAATGACATCTTGACATTTAAGATTAGTATCGTCAAAGTTTCGTCTTAACAATCAAATGACCTGTTTAACTAGTGACCCCTTTAAAAGCGGATAAATTCGTTTTCATCTGTGACTTTCGTTAGATGTCTCTAGAACTTTAAATATGTAACTGACGTAGGTCCAACTATTAATTCTTCACTGATGTGCAAATAATTTTAAATATGTCATTGACGTCCATATAATTTTAAATATGTCATTGACGCCCATAGAAATATGCCAGTGACGTCCGTATAATTTTAAATATGTCAGTGACGTCCGTATAATTTTAAATATGTCATTGACGCCCATAGAAATATGCCAATGACGTCCGTATAATTTTAAATATGTCATTGACGCCCATAGAAATATGCCAATGACGTCCGTATAATTTTAAATATGTCACTGACGTCCATATAATTTTAAATATGTAAGTGACGTCCGTATACCTTTAAATATGTCAGTGACGTCCGTATAATTTTAAATATGTCAGTGACGTCCTTAGAACTTTGAGTAATTAAATCATGAGGTGTGATACTCCCTAGTCGAATTTCTCACTAGTGACTTTCTACGGCTCAAAACCTTTATGCAGCAGAATATTGTGTCGCCCTTGAGCCCACTCAGTTTTAATGGGTACCCGTCATGTCTCAGTGTATGTGTGCAGTCCAAAAAACATTTTTATGGCCCGCTTGACCAATTAACACCCCTATGCTCTACTCCACCTGCTCTGTGGCGGTATTGAAAATCTTCAGAATCGTTTATAAAGACCGGAAATGTTTTGGTTCTTCCGTAGAATAATCGAGTGCAGTAGAGTTTTCTCCCTGTTGGTACTGCCGTCAGGGTTAGGACTAGGGTTAAATTCTGGCTAAGAACTAAAACAAGGGATTGGGGTACGTAGCCCGCATTGATGAAGCAGGATGTTGAAGTTTTGAAATATATGGAATTACCATTTTAGTACAGAAATGTAAATTAATTTATTACATTTGAGTTTCATATATTGTGTAGAAATGTGGTAAATAAGAAATGTAATTTCTCTTAAACTTTTACTTCTAGTGGAAAAATAATTGGTCGTCTGAATGTTATCGAACTTGCTATTCTATAATTGCAGCCCGTTGGTACGGGCTAATCCCAGTATGGGGGTCAGGGGGTCAGGGTAACGATATGATAAGTCGAGATTCCAACATGGGGGTCAGGGGGTCAGGATAACGATATGATAAGTCGAGATACCAGCGATAAGCTAACCCACCGAGATACGCCCCCCCCCCTGATTCTAGCCTGAAATGCTTTAGTTGTACTACTACTACCACCACCACCACCACCACCACTACCACCACACTACCATCACCTTCCCCACCATCACCACTACCATCCCCACCACCACCACCACCACCACACCATCACCACCACTACCACCATCACCATCACCACTACCACCATCATCATCACCACCCCACCACCATCACCACCACTTTAAGTTGACCTGTCAGCGGCCATTGAATCCCTGTCCGTTTCTCCCTGCAAATTGTATGTCATCCAGTCAACCACCAGTAACAACATAAGCAGTGAGAGCAAACGCCATTGTTTTACTCACGATGTACTTTAATCGCGTCTGGTAATAATTGTCTAGTGAGTATCAATTATTGTGTGATCCTCAATTGATGATCGGAGTTGTGGTATACTTTTAGGATAAGAGACATTGATTTATTTAGGGTTTCGTTGTGTTGTAAGTTTCCGTTTACACTATTAATTGTTGTTTTGAAATCTAAAAAAAATTGACATTTCATCAAGGTCTATAGACGTGCTTTGTGTTTCATAAGATATTATAACAGCAATATTTTCTACTTGTGTTTTACAGTAATATTTATTATTATGTATGTTACGAGGTGTACATATTTTCTACTTGTTACAAATGTGTTCGGATAGGGCAACCCCCTGTGTCAGAATGCTCACTCCCCCACCCACCTCCATCCCTCACTATAACTTTGCCACCACCCCTCTTCCCCCCCCCCTTCCCCCCATCAGCTTATGAACAGTTAATGAACGTGGGAAACAAATTGTTTGATGATGTTTTCAATATCATTAGTGATAAACAAACATGCCCGATCTTCTGATGTGAAAAAATGGCGGTCTGGTCGCTGTTGTTGTTTTGTGGTTTTGGTGATGGCGGTGTTGGCGGTGGTGGTGGTGGGGATGATGCAAAAACCACACGGAAGTCTTACGTTGTAAAAAAAAATAATGATGTTGTGATAAGCAAAGTAGCACACAAGAAAGTAGTTACAAACACAGATGCTAAACCCGTGCTATCTATTCGTTCGGCGCATGCCCTGTCAGTTTTGTTTCGAAAATAAATAAATCTTCGCAATGAAAATAATGCAAAGCTAAACGTCGTTTCTAATTAAGCTTTAATAACTTTTAAAACTAATAACTTGGAAATCACAAAATAACAGTTTGTATTAGAACACTTCGACTAAGTCACATATAGCCATGAGATTTCAGTAGTTTAGAGATAGGAACATAGCGATCATACTTTGAATAATAGTCTTACAGCTGACATGAAGGCCCAGGAATGATAGTTTAACTTAACTAGAATCTAGATCAGGAACAAGTCCCGTAAAGTGGCATAAGACCTAAACTGACATTCTATGACGCTTACAGACATATTGCTACATATATGGCGAAAGCTAGGGTGTCACCGTGTATTCGATTCCTGAATTTCCGGTAAGCATTGGTCAGCTATATTTAAATTTAATCTATCGCCTTGTTGGGAACTCCGGCCTAAAAGTACCCAAATGAAATTAATTCCTCCTTCCAATTTATTTGAAGGAATGTAGGCGAACCAAATGAAAATATGTATTTGGTTTTGATATGGAGATTTGTGCAAACATTAATGACGTGCAATATGTGACCAAGTGAGATATTTGAAGCTATAATGGGGGAGGGGGGGGGACATCTACATTATTCGTTGTGTGGGCTGGTCCGTTTTCTAGCTTGGTGTAGATCTATGGCAATCTATCCGACCTGCTAAAAACGTGCATGTAGCTTGGTGTAGATCTATGGCAATCTATCCGACCTGCTAAAAACGTGCATGTAGCTTGGTGTAGATCTATGGCAATCTATCCGACCTGCTAAAAACGTGCATGTAGCTTGGTGTAGATCTATGGCAATCTATCCGACCTGCTAAAAACGTGCATGTAGCTTGGTGTACTAGATCTATGGCAATCTATCCGACCTGCTAAAAACGTGCATGTAGCTTGGTGTACTAGATCTATGGCAATCTATCCGACCTGCTAAAAACGTGCATGTAGCTTGGTGTACTAGATCTATGGCAATCTATCCGACCTGCTAAAAACGTGCATGTAGCTTGGTGTACTAGATCTATGGCAATCTATCCGACCTGCTAAAAACGTGCATGTAGCTTGGTGTACTAGATCTATGGCAATGTATGCGACCTGCTAAAAACGTGCATACTGGATGTGCATGAGGCGAAACGAGACGAGATCTGCATACAACAATATCACATTAAATTCCTCTGAGCTCATATATTTATAGGTGTCATTTGCTCTAGTATTGGTGTGGTATTGTTATATTTTTATGTAGCGTTGTTATGGTGTTGTATGTTTATGTAGCGTTGTTATGGTGTTGTATGTTTATGTAGCGTTGTTATGGTGTTGTATGTTTATGTAGCGTTGTTATGGTGTTGTATGTTTATGTAGCGTTGTTATGGTGTTGTATGTTTATGTAGCGTTGTTATGGTGTTGTATGTTTATGTAGAGTTGTTATGGTGTTGTATGTTTATGTAGCGTTGTTATGGTGTTGTATGTTTATGTAGCGTTGTTATGGTATTGTTATATTTTTATGTAGCATTGTTATGATATTGTTATATTTTTATGTAGCTTTGTTATGGTGTTGTATTTATATGTAGCGTTGTTATGGTACTGTTATATTTGTATGTAGCGTTGTTATGGTATTTTTATATTTTTATGATGCGTTGTTATGGTGTTGTTGTGTTTTTATGTAGCGTTGTTATGATATTTTTATATTTTTATGTAACGTTATTGTGGTATTGTTATATTTTTATGATGCGCTGTTATGCTGTTGCTGTGTTTTTATGTAGCGTTGTTATGATATTTTTATATTTTTATGTAGAGTTCTTATGGTGTTGTATTTTTATGTAGCGTTGTTATGGTATTGTTATATTTTTATGTAGCGTTGTTATGGTACTGTTATATTTTTATGTAGCGTTGTTATGATATTTTTATATTTTTATGTAGCGATGTTATGGTATTGGTATATTTTTATGTAGCGTTGGTATGGTGTTGTATTTTAATTTTTTTAACTTCACTTCATTACAACAGCTTGTTATATGTTTTCCTAATCCCCCTTATAACATTACTCTCATGTTTCATGCAGGTTTTTAATGTTTTTCAAATAATTTGTTCTTAGAACCATTGACAGCTTATTCAAATGTTTACATTTCATTATAACTCTACCACTAAGTATACTTCTGGTTTCTACAATTTTGTTCATCATAGTCCTAAAAACACCGTAGTCCATAAAAACGGCAAGTATTTCAAAGAAAATACTTCAGCTCCAAGTCAAACCCACGTCGTCTAAGCTTTTCTCTTTATTTTGTATGATGCAAGTTTTTGTATTTTAACTCAACATTGAACTACCTCTAGCCGATAAGTGGGATGCGCATGTGTGTCGTATGTAGGGCAAGTCTGTCTCGTTTTCCCACCCACTTCAACACCTTTTTAATAACCCTCTGTTTACCTTGAGCTAATTCACGTAACCGACATAGGA